TTTCTTTGTGTAGCCTTGGCTGTCCTGGACCTAGCTCTGTAGCCCAGGCTGGCCTCGAACTCACAGAGATCCGCCTGCCTTTGCCTCCCGAGTACTGGAATTAAAGGCGTGCGCCACCACCTGTCTGTCTCCACTGCCCCAGATGAGGACCCAACCCAGTGCCACTCAGCTAAATCCCCAACCCGCTTGGTTTTATTTTATTTTAAATGATTTATTTATTCTTATCTGTTGTGGTGGTTTGGAAAAAAAAAAAAAAGCTCCCATAGAGAGTGGCACTAATAGGAGGTATGGCCTTGTTGGAGTAGCTGTGACCTTGTTGGAGGAAACGTGTCACTGTGGGGGTGGGCTCTGAGGTCTTCTATGTTCAAGCTAAGCACAGTGTGGCACTTACTTCACTTCCTGCTGCCTTCGGATCAAGATGTTGAACTTTCAGCTCCTTCTCCAGCACCAAGTCTGCCTGCATGCCACCATGTTCCACCATTATGATAATGGACTGAACCTCTGAACTGTAAGCCAGCCCCAATGAAATGTTTTTCTTTATAAGTGTTGCAGTGGTCATTGTGTCTCTTCACAGCAACAGAAAGTCTAACTAAGACATGTGCATTGGGTTTTTTTTGCCTGTATATATGTCTGTGTGAGGCTGTTGGATCCTCCTGGAACTGGAGTTACAGACAGTTGTGAGTTAGGTGTTAGGAACTGAACCCAGGTCCTCCGGAAGAGCAGCCAGTGCTCTTAACTTCTCAGCCATCTCTCCAGCTCCCAGACTTAAAGGTTTAGTTTCATCATTACTTAATACAAATAGCACAATTACAAATATAAAGATTTGTAACTTGTTAGAGCCCACAGGTTTTATGAATACAAAACAGAAATTCCAAACAAATTGACTTTGACTTCTCTTAAGAATTTCTTCCTTGGCTTAGAAACTGAAAATCCTGCCTTTCACATTTGATGGGTGTTAAGGGTGAAGCTTTGAATGAGCTGACAACTTGGAATCTGTGCTACAAATCGAAGGGAAACTTCAAACACAAGGGTTTGTCTCATAGGAGGAACTCCGTCAAAAAGGCTTTCATCCTTGTGAAACCTCTCAACTAAGGAGACTTGACGTCAGACCCAGGACAGGAAAATAACTAGAGAATAACAAGAATTAGTTTATAAGCTATGGGGAAAAAACTTGTTGCTTTCCGACTTTTATGACTCTCCCTTATTTCTGGCAAAAAAGATGGAGATGATCCCCTCTTTTGCCTCGAGGACAGAGGAATGCAGGGAATTCTCGGGGTGCATCTTTTGCAGTTTGCAAACAATAACATGAAGACCAAGGAGACAAGGCTGAGTGCCCTGGTAGGGGAATAACAGGGAACTGCTAGAAGCTGATCTTTCCGCGGTTGGCTAGAATCTGCATGACTCTTTTACCTTGGGAAAGAGTCAAACTGCATAGAAGAGGGAGTCTTGAGCTTTTTAAAGTTTTACCCCAGAAAAATGGTGGACACTGTATCAGGCTCTAGAGACAGTAGCTAAAGGAAGGACTCTAGAAATCTAAGAGCAAGTATTTCAGGTATGAAGACATCACTGTCCTCGGAAGATTCCAGATGAGGCGGTGGTGGAGGGCAATCTCTTCCCATTTAGGCTACACTTACACTAGCAGACTCTGTCTGAAGTAACCGTGTGGAACTCCAGAGTCTACTGAAGGAATAAACTTTCAGAGGAGAACTGAAAAGGCCAGGTGGGGCTGGCGAGCCGCTCGGCCAGTAGTTCCATGCCTGATTCGACATTCTGACTTCTTGGGATTCAAACTCAGGCCCTCATGCTTGCGCAGCCATTTCCCAGACAGAAATTAGCAACGCAACACAACAACACAACAAGAAACAGGCTCAGAAGAATGGCGGGATGGGGATCCAAGCAAACACAGGCATTCCTAAAACGGTTTATCCCACACCTTCCCCTTCCTCTAGAAGTAACCAATGGATGTGTTAGTTTCGAGAGCACCCACTAGGAGTCACTGAGGGTTAACATGTCAATAGAGAACTGGATATTCCACAGTACTAAGAAATGATTAACTTTTTGAGGTGTGGTATCAAAATAGTCCTTATCTTTTAGAGTTACTGAACTTATGGCCATAATGCCATGTCTAAATGCTGTTTCCCAGCAGTCACTGGGGTGGGGAGCATGAGAGGAACCACAGGGGAATCTGGGAGCTCTGTATTCTCGATCAGCTTATGCTCATAAAATGCTGGATCATTTGCTCTCCTAATGAAAAAGTAGACATGGGGCTGGAGAGATGGCTCAGTGGTTAAGAACATATAACTGTTCCTGCAGAGGACATGAGTTCAATTCCCAGCAATGGTTGTCAGTGGCTCTCAACCACCTGTGACTTCAGCTCTAGGAGATCTGATGCCCTCTTCTGGCCTTGGTGGAAACTTGCACTCATGTGTGCATACTCACACACACACATACACACATATACATAATTAAAACTAAATCTTGGGGAAAAAAAGTGTTGCAATCCACTAGGTTTTCTAGTAGGTGTACCCAGCAGGACTGCAGAAGAGGTTGACTGGACCACAGGTCTGAGTATCAGGTGCTTGTAAGGGTCTACACTTGACTGTAACTAGCAAGGGGGAGGTCTTTTGCTCCACCCCTTGGCATTGTTATAAATAGACCTTTGGAATAAAGTTCTGGGCCAGTGGATAAGGATCCAGGCCCTCCCGAGGCTATCCTGTGTTTTCTCGCTGTTTTCCCTTCCCTCTCTATTTCTAACTAGGTCTCTTCTCCCTCAATTCCTCAAGAGTCCCTGGGGTAAATAAATGTGGGGGCTGTTTCACCACAAAAGAGAAGGTGCAAAAGTTTGTCCTGAATGTAGCTCTTAGGCCAGGCCTTGCCCTACTCAGGTGCTCTTTCCTGATCCCTCCTTCCATGCAGGAAAACTGGGAGCCTCCTGTGGGCTGAGGCAGGGTATGACAAGACTTGTTCATCTACTGCAGTCCACATTTTCGGCAGAGTTTCCTCTGATACTTTTTTCTTTTAAATAAGTTTTTTTTTTTTTTTAAGATCTATGTATTTTTAGGCAGGGCATGGTGGCACATGCCTTTAATCCAGCACTTGGGGGCAGAGGCCAGCCGATCTCTGAATTCAAGGCCAGCTTGGTCTACAGAGTGAGTTCTAGGACAGCTGGGGTTACACAGAGAAAACATATAAATTTTTTTTTAAAGTTTGTGTGTGTGTGTGTGTGTGTGTTTGCGTGTGTATACGCTACTTTTGTATGCATGAATATGCAATGTGTGTGCTGTATGTACTCAACTGCTGATCCATTCATTTCTCTCTGGCCCTACAGCTGCTTCTTTGTTTCTTCTATTGAGACAGGGTCTCACTGTAGTCCTGGCTGGCCTAGAACTCACTCTGTAGACCAGGCTGGCCTTAAACTCAGAGAGACCCACCTGCCCTTGGCTCATGCAGAGATTAAAGGCATGTGTCACCTGTCACCATGCCTAGCCTAATGCTGACTATTAAGAGTTAGACCAAAGCTGAAGAATGAGAAAAGAGAGAGAGAGAAGGGGGCTGGAGAGATGGCTCAGAGGTTAAGAGCACTGGCTGCTCTTCCAAAGGTCCTGAGTTCAATTCCCAGCACCCACATGGTGGCTCACAACCATCTGTAATGAGATCTGGTGCCCTCTTCTGGTGTGTAGACATACATGCAGGCAGAACACTGTGTACATAATAAATAAATAAATAAATCTTAAAAATAAAAAGAATGAAAAGAGAGAAGGGTGGGTAAAATAAGAAACATCTGAAATTAGGGGACTCTAAGCAGGAAGAAGTGGTCAATATAAAAAAAGGTTTCTGAGCAATCAGGAAAACTGACCCACGGATGGAGAATAAAAAAGCACTTATCTCATAAGCCTTGATGGCCTGAGTTTGAGCCCCAGAACCCACGGTGGGAGGAGTGGGAGGAGAGAACTGTCCGAAAAGTCGTCCTCTGACTTGCACACAGGTACCATGGTACAATGTAACCCCCCCCCCCCATAATAAATAAAAGGAAAAACGTGGCATTTGTCCATTCGATGTAGCTTTCTGAGACAGGGCACTGGTAATTTTGAGGGCCGTGAAGTCAGGTGATGCAGTGAAGGGCTGAGTGGGAGGGGAGAGTGGAAAGGGGGTGCTCCATAAGGGGGTCCTTCAAGCCCCCCGTGTGCCTTCAGTCTTCTCACTGGAGGAGGGAGGGTGGCTGGGAGCTTTCACTGGGTAAGGATCGGCAGCGGTGTGCTGAGGGCTGGGGAGGTGCAGGTAAAAAGGCCCCTGAGCAGCAACGGGGGCTGGTGGCCACCGGAGCCCCTGGATTCACGGGAGTGTGGGCCTGCACGAGGGAGCAGTTTCCCCAGCCACTCCCACCCTCCTGCTCGGCAGGCTTCAGGCATGGCTCAGCGAGAGGCTGCAGCAGAAGCTGATGCATGGGAAGGGTTCAGTTGTCCCCCTCTTCCCCCATCCTTGTTGTGGGGTGCAGAGGCCTGGAGAGCTAGAAGCTACCTGTACAGATAGATGGGTTGCCTGGGAGCATGCTGGGTGAGGTCTGCGGTTGGTGGAGAAAAGAGTGGAGGGGATACGAGAGACTTTCTGGGAGCACTGTTTACTTGTGGGTTGTGTGAAGGGCAGGGGATCTTCCCAGGGAAAGCAGGGTCTGTGGAAGAGGATGATGGGAGCTGTGGACATGAAGGGAGTGTGAGGCCAGGTGTATCAAGGAAGGTCAAGGGTCAGGGCCAGGGCAGGAGGGCCATGGAGGGAGTGTTCAGGAAGAAAGCCGAAGAAAGGGGGGCTCTGGGTTCAGGGGAAGGCTAGGGAAGAGGATGCATAAGTGGCCAGCAGCCTGCATGCAAGCTAGACCGCAGTGGCTGCTTAGGGGAGCCCGGGTAACAGCGGCTGCGGGTTCCCCCTTCCTATCTGTACAGATGCTGGAGTCCGTCCCTCGCGCCGGAAGCCCCTCCCCCCGGCTCCACCCAAAGACTGCCCCCTCGCCCAGCTCTCACCTCTTGGATGGCGGCCATGCGCACAGTTTCGTAGTAGTGCAGGGGCGCGTTGGGTGTGTTCATGTCGTAGCCAAAGCCTGCGACTGCCACTTCATCACAGCCATGGAGAGCCATGGTCACCGCCACACTGCCAAGGGTTGGGATGTTCTGGAAGAGAAGAGCGGAGGGAGGCGTGTAGAGTTCTGCGGGGGTGGGTGGGTGTGGCTGAGACCTCCAGAGCTAATTGGCCCATTTCCAAGGATGGAACTTCACCTCCCCCCCCCCCACGGAGCCTCCTTCCCCACCCATTTCCCTTCCAAGGCTCCCCTGCCAAATTCTCCTCCTCCCTGCCCCGGGAGTCTCACCCCCCTGCCCATGAGGCCGTTGTTGAAGGGCAGTCCAATGAGAGTGAAGGCAGCCTCCTGGATGAAGTATGGATTGAGGATGCGGATCTCAGGGGGCTCCTTGGGCACTCGGGTGGCCACAGACTTCCAGAAGCCATCGGATGCACTCTGTAGACACAGCATAAGAAGACATGAGCTGGGCACCTGATAAACCAGCTAACCCTGGAAGGCTTTGGCATGGGAGGGCTCATGGGATGTGTGCCAGACACAGGTATGTGTTGGGGAAGGGTGACCGTGTGGTGGGACCAGGGTGAGTAATGGGGGACACAAAGTGAGCTCTGAGGCAGGGGACAAAGTGTGGGACACTGTTAGGAGTGCTGCTTTATCCTGAGTGCAGGGGTGGGGTGTCTTGGGCCACAAGGAAAACCCCCCAGGCCCAGCAGCCCCGCCTCCCCGCCAGAGGCGGGGCCCACCAGCGGCTGGCCCTCATCCGCCTATCTGCTCTCCTGAGCTCGCCTCCTTTCCCTTCTGTCTGTCTGTCCTGGCTCTCAGTCAACTGTCCTAAAGTAGACCTGGAAAACAAAGACATTTCGTGAGCCGTCACAGAGCAGCAGAATGACACTCAGATCTCAGTCCTGCCCTGACCAGAACTGGGTGGCTCCGGGCCTGTTGTGTGTAGAATAGTTAGTTCATTCTCTCTCACGGAGCTTGGTTCCAATGCGGAAGAATTGCCTCTGAAACATATCCCAGCATCCGACTCTGGGCCACGGGGCCTCTCCTCTTCATCCTTCCCCTTCTCCCTGTCCAACCTCACAGAGCCTTTCCTGGTCTGGACCCCCAAGTCAGTCACTTGAGCTGCTCTGGGTCATGGACTCCCCTTTCTGGACCCTACAGCAAGGGCTCTTCAGAACGCCAGGGGAAGCTGTGAGCCAAGCAGCATCGGAACCATTACCACGGCCTCCAAATTTGTAGCAAATTTGTTACTTGTCTAGGAGACACCAAAAAAAATAAAATAAAATAAAATAAAAAAATCAACTACACTTAGAGTGGAAAAGTACTGAGCACACCAAGAGGAAATGATCACTGGGTACGAGAAGGGAAAAGATGGCCCGGTGGGTAAAGGTGCCTTGCTCCCTAGGCTGATGACTGGAGTTTGATCCCAACCCACATGGAAGGAGAGAACCAAGTTGTCCTTTGACCTCCACACATGTGCCCACACACGTATGTGTGTCAAACACATAAAAAATAAACAAATACATGTTAAAAAAAAAAAAACAAGAGATTTCCATTTGCAAGTGCCTTTACCTGCTGATTCATCTCATTAGCCCTAAAAATATTCCTACTTTCCCCCAGCCTTGGGGATCAAATCCAGAGCCTCAGGCATTCTAGTAAACGCTCTACTACATCCTCAGCCCAACCTCACAAACATTCTTATGAATGTACTTCAGAACACACACAGAGTGTACACAAACAGAGTTTAAAATAAACGAATCTCAAAAAAAAAAAATTAAAACAAGACAAGCAAATTTAAGAGAGAAACAAAACTGTGGAGAAAAGTTTGTCGCAAAAAAATAAAGACATTCTTGTTTTAAAAGCTCATGAAAAGTAGCCAGGCACGGTGATCATAGTCTTGTGATCCCAGCCCCTGTGAGGCTGAGCAGAAGGATGGCCTAGGCCTTGAGGGAAGCTAGACTACAGCAAGACCCTGTCTCAACAACACCCTAGCTCCAACAGACAAACAAAACCCAAAAATTAAGAAAAAAAAATCAGTGAGATCTCACAGAAATGGGCAAAGGATGTAAAAGAAAGTTAAGTGGTAACCTGGGGCCATCCTCACTCTAGCCAAGCATGCAACCAATTACTCACCCCCCAGGCTACAAGCCTGCTCATTACAGCGCTACTTAGGAATGTGGAATGCCAGGAAAATCCCAAAAGTTTACAAAAGCAGTTCAGCTAAGTGATACCGGATACAGGCCCAGAAAAGAAACGCTAGGCATCAGAATTGTGTACTCTGAGAATTCTGTCACCTAGATATCATTTATTTAACAGCTATGTTGTCCACATCTTTTCCTGCTTCTTATCCCTTTCCTCTACTGTCCATCCATCTTTCAAACAAGAAACCTGGGAGTACACGTCAGATTCTCCTCCATCCCTCACCCATTCTGGCCCCCTACTTCTTACATCTTATCCCATAGATCCACGCCTCTCTCCCAAAGCCACTGCTCCCACCCCAGGTCCCTGTCTTATTACTGTCCATCAGGACTACCATACCAACTGGCCCATCCTACGCCAGCCTAACACTCCGGAGCCCTGTAGAGTGAATGGAAAACACAAGCCACGTGAAAATGATTGCTGAGCTCCAGTTGCTTACTTAACACACATGGAGCTGAGTATCCAGAAGGGCCGCCTCTGCTTCCCAAGCCACATCACCCTGCCAGAATGATCTTTCCAAATACGCACCAGCTCATATCACATCTGGCTGCCTCCGTTCTTACCACAAGCCCTCTGAACCACTGCTGGCCAACTCCTCCATGCTCCTGGCCACCGCTTATCTCTAATACCCCCATCCCCCACACCCATACAATGCATCTTGCTCATCTTTCCTGATCTCCTGCACCCCAAGGAAGAAGTGCCTACTAGCCTTTGAGAAGTGATAAAAGAGAGCTAAGAGCCTTGGTCCTGGGATTCAGCTTCAGCTCTGTTCCATGGGGACTCTGAGCAAGGAAGATTCCTTATGGACAAATCGGGGACACTCAATACTTACAATGTGGACCACTGTGAGACTTACACAGGGCCGGGCTCCTTTTTGATTCATTTCTGTAGCCCAGGACCCAGCTCAGCTGGGGCAGGGCATAGTACTGAAGGAGCTACGGCTTTCTTCCAAAGCTCCTCCACTGGCCAGTACCTCCCCAGCCCTGTCTCTGCCCCAACCACATTCTCCTGTCTTCCTCCGAAGGCGACCTCTCCTTCTCTGGCAGCTGTTTTCTGTCCTTTCATGGGTCAGATCAACTTCTGGATCTCAACCTATTAGATTAATCAAGTAGGCACCAGTTCTGTGGCTTCTGCACCCCGCCCCAAGTCTGTGGCTGTGTATGTAAAGGAGGAGATAAAGGTGGGGATCGGAGGATGACATAAGACCAGCATGGAGGAGAACAGGCTGAGCCACTGGACAGAGTTATGGAGAAGCCCCTCCCGGATGGGCCTGGCTGTGACAGATGTCCAGGAGTGGGAGATGTGCTGGTCACACGCCTTAGACCCGTCTCTTCTCCAGAGCCCAGTAGGCCCCCAACAACCCACCCCCAGGCTTCTGCCTGTGCCTGTTCCCATACACCTCAAGAGGAGACTGAAAACACAGGTCCCCACCCCCAGAGCTGCAGGGGTGTGGGGAATGGGCACAGTAGGGCAAGGGGAGGTCACAACCCTTGAGGCCGTGCCTAGACTGAAACCTAGTCTTGGTCCCAAGACAGGTCTTTGCAGGGTATCCTAGCTTCCCACAGCTGTTCACATCTGGAGTCTGAAGCACAGGGGAAAATCACCTCTCTTGCCTTGCAAGAGCTCCGAGTTGAGTCAGGGGTCACTCAGTGCCCCATGACCTACACATAATTAATTCTACACAGGGAACATGCCGAGGCATACATACGGCTGGCATAGTGGAACACATCTAAGCTGGATTGCACTCCAGAATCCACCCATGATCTGAGGCACTGTCATCGAAACCATCATTCACAGCCTTCCCGTGCTGTAAAGGTCCAGGATCTAACCACTATGTGAAACTACAGGGAATTAGCTTATTGCAAATCCCTCTAAGAATCAGAAAAGAGGCGCCAGGGGGAAGGGCGGGCCAGCCTTGCTTCCCCCCGCTAATCTTCTGAAAGGAGGAACGAGTGCCCCATTTCCAGTAAGAAGTGAGTAGTCTCTTACACACTGATACACACATGCATACATCTGATGTGCACACACACGTGCACAGCTCCTCCTTAAGCTGAGACAGGGCCTGTCCTGGGAGCAGGTGAGCACTTCCTGCCCCAGCCCCATATGCATGAAAGCTCTGATGTCTGTTCCACCTGGGGGCAGCCAGAAGTGGCTAAAGGCAGTGCTTGGACCCTGGGGAAGTGTCCCATGCTTAGGTCCCAAGTCCCAGGGAGCCCCACATTAGAGGAGCAGGCAATGGCACAGTCAATATTTCAGCATTTCTTCTGCTTCTTGTCCTGTTGTAGAGCTTCCTTGAGAATTCAGGGAAAAGCAGAATATCAAGAACAAGGTGTGAGGCCGGGCAATGGTGGCGCACGCCTTTGATCCCAGCACTCAGAAGCAGAGGCAGGTCGATCTCTGTGAGTTCGAGACCAGCCTGGTCTACAGATCGAGTTCCAGAACAACCAGAGCTACACAGAGAAACCTTGTTTTGAAAAACAAAAACAAATAAACAAACAAAAGAACAAGTGTGATGTCAGCTTTTGTTTCCCTAGCTATAAGATACGTATTGGGGCTGGAGAGGTAGCTCAGTGGTTAAGAACGGCAGCTGCTCTCCCAGAGGACCTAGGTTCAGTTCCCATGGCAGCTCACAACTGTCTGTAACTCCAGTCTCAGGGATCCAACATCCTCTTCAGGCCTTTTTGGGTACCAGGCATAGATGTGGTACCCAGATATACATACAGGCAAAATGCCCATACACATATACATAAATTAAATTAAAAAACAAACCAGGAACCAACCAAATCTCAGCCTGTCTCCTAGCATCAAGCAGGCAAACAAACACCCCACGGCTCCTCTTCTCAGATGTGTTCACGGGACAGATCTTTCTAGGGTAGAGAACTGAGGCTCATATCCCAATTCCACATCTCTGTGACCCGGGGCACATCACGTCATCTGTCTAAGCCTCAGGTTCCTCTTGCATAAAACAGAGATGACAAGACCGACTTCCCAGAAAGCTGAAGGGATTAAAGGAGATGCTGGGTCTGATAGCATCTGGCAGTGTCTGGTATACAGAAAGAACTCAATAAATCTTTCCTATTATGACTGAGTGTTTCAGAAGCCAAGAGATTGAAACAGAGGGTGTGGCTGGAGGTGTCAGCCACCACAGAAAGGCCAGCACGCATGCACACCTGCACAGGTCCACACCTGCACCCGTTCAGACACGGGAGCGTGGAGCTAGCTTTTCCCGCTGGTTC